CACTAGGGAGTTCATATTAGGTGGCAGCCTAGATTACCACCAGGGAGTACATATTAGGTGTTGGCCTAGATTACCACTAGGGATTACATATTAGGTGGCAGCCCAGATTACCACCAGGGAGTACATATTAGGTGTTGGTCCAGATTAACACCAGGGGGTACATATTAGGTGGCAGCCCAGATTACCACCAGGGAGTACATATTAAGTGTCAGCCTAGATTACCACCAGGGAGTACATATTAAGTGTTGGCCTAGATTACCACCAGGGAGTACATATTAGGTGGCAGCCCAGATTACCACCAGGGAGTACATATTAAGTGTTGGCCTAGATTACCACCAGGGAGTACATATTAAGTGTTGGCCTAGATTACCACCAGGGAGTACATATTAAGTGTTGGCCTAGATTACCACCAGGGACTATTAGGTGGCAGCCCAGATAACCACCAGGGGGTACATATTAGGTGTCAGCCCAGATTACCACCAGGGAGTATTAGGTGGCAGCCCAGATTACCACCAGGGAGTACATATTAAGTGTCAGCCTAGATTACCACCAGGGAGTACATATTAAGTGTTGGCCTAGATTACCACCAGGGAGTATTAGGTGGCAGCCCAGATAACCACCAGGGAGTACATATTAAGTGTTGGCCTAGATTACCACCAGGGAGTACATATTAGTTGTTGGCCTAGACTTCCACCAGGCAGTACATATTAAGTGTTGGCCTAGATTACCACCAGGGAGTATTAGGTGGCAGCCCAGATAACCACCAGGGAGTACATATTAAGTGTTGGCCTAGATTACCACCAGGGAGTATTAGGTGGCAGCCCAGATTACCACCAGGGAGTACATATTAGGTGTTGGCCTAGATTACCACCAGGGAGTATTAAGTGTCAGCCCAGATTACCACCAGGGAGTACATATTAAGTGTTGGCCTAGATTACCACCAGGGAGTACATTTTAGGTGTTGGCCTAGACTTCCACCAGGCAGTACATATTAAGTGTTGGCCTAGATTACCACCAGGGAGTATTAAGTGTCAGCCCAGATTACCACCAGGGAGTACATATTAAGTGTTGGCCTAGATTACCACCAGGGAGTATTAAGTGTCAGCCCAGATTACCACCAGGGAGTACATATTAAGTGTTGGCCTAGATTACCACCAGGGAGTATTAAGTGTCAGCCCAGATTACCACCAGGGAGTACATATTAAGTGTTGGCCTAGATTACCACCAGGGAGTATTAAGTGTCAGCCCAGATTACCACCAGGGAGTACATATTAAGTGTTGGCCTAGATTACCACCAGGGAGTATTAAGTGTCAGCCCAGATTACCACCAGGGAGTACATATTAAGTGTTGGCCTAGATTACCACCAGGGAGTATTAAGTGTCAGCCCAGATAACCACCAGGGAGTACATATTAGGTGTTGGCCTAGATTACCACCAGGGAGTACATATTAAGTGTTGGCCTAGATTACCACCAGGGAGTATTAAGTGTCAGCCCAGATAACCACCAGGGAGTACATATTAGGTGTTGGCCTAGATTACCACCAGGGAGTATTAAGTGTCAGCCCAGATTACCACCAGGGAGTACATATTAAGTGTTGGCCTAGATTACCACCAGGGAGTATTAAGTGTCAGCCCAGATTACCACCAGGGAGTACATATTAAGTGTTGGCCTAGATTACCACCAGGGAGTATTAAGTGTCAGCCCAGATAACCACCAGGGAGTACATATTAGGTGTTGGCCTAGATTACCACCAGGGAGTACATATTAAGTGTTGGCCTAGATTACCACCAGGGAGTATTAAGTGTCAGCCCAGATAACCACCAGGGAGTACATATTAGGTGTTGGCCTAGATTACCACCAGGGAGTATTAGGTGGCAGCCCAGATTACCACCAGGGAGTACATATTACCACATGGCAGCCCTGACCACCAGAGAGCACCATACTTAAAGTTATATGCACAAATTGTTCTGCAACATCACACCCATTTGGGGAGAGCACAATGTCTAATGCATGACAAATATAAAGGTTAGACAATTAAGTGTTGTTTACTGATGAAAGTGCCATTCTGGTAAGACTACACTCTATTACCAGTAACATTTGTTCAGAAATTGTTTCACTTATGTTTAGCGATGTGCATGTTGAGTTTCTGTGGCTGTTTGTTCTAGTCCAGACTCATACCGATTTCATAGTGCTAGCCCACTATGATACCATGCCACAGTTTAACATAGATTCCCCACTCAGACACATTACTCTGGGACGACCAGTCCTCATAGTTTTGTCTCCTTAATGCTAACCACAAGGCAGGGTAACAAGTACCATCTTTTAACCAGGTGATCGAACACCATCTGCTGCTCTCTGGGCAGACGCTCTCTACACCTCAGAGGAAGTTTTCTTTATAACGAAGGATCTGAACATCTCCTTAACAGTTGCAAACAATATTGTTTTTAACAAAAATAGATGGCACGATTGTTTTATTTTTTCAACAAAATATGCTGCTGGGTGGCCATTTTGAATTTTTCAATGTCCATAGTAGGCTGTTTATCCTCACTCATGTCGAACATGTTTAATAGGGTTATTATTATGTTATTGATAGTTTTGAAGTTTATAAGCCAGGCGACAGGATGGATCAATAGACAGTTTAAAGAAGTAAATCCATGCCGTAACATCATTTTGATGATGTCAATACCTTGTCATGCAAACATATGGAGCCCAATGACCTTACAAGAATGACCTTACCTTCACACCTTTTCAGTTTGTAAACACACAAATATCTCTGTGTTGTGGGTTTTAGGACGCTTAAGAATAATTTATTGTTTTCAACAGATTTAATTTAATACATTTTCTATAGAACTTATAGGTTTTATTTAAAATAGAGCCCACAATTAATTTCCTCAAACACCCCCCTGGTTTTAGCGCAAGTAATGGTGATAAACATGGTCGTCCGCAAACGTATGATGTCCGTCAATATATATATGGCTCATCAGCAGAGTGTTTCCAGAAAAAAAAGCTTCAGACACTTATCGAATACATGACATGTAATAACAGGAATATAAACTTACTCTCATTTGCATTCCACACCAGTTTCATACAGCAATACCCAAACTCTAAATGCTCTTTTTCTCATGCATATATCCACATGGAAATGGCCTAATGTATTCAAAATTCAAAATGGCAGATAAGGCTGCTCAATGTATATGCTTGGCTGACAAATGTTAAATGGACAGGTCCTGCTTGAGGAAGTTAAATGGGGTCTATATTTCAAATATAACCCATACGTTTTATAGAAAAGGTAATTAAATTAAGCCTGAAGTTTGTTAGAAAACTTCCAGCTATATGACAGCATCATGTCAATAATCAAGTCTAGACTAGACAATCCAGTGGTTGATATTATGAGCAATGATCCACGCTTTTGGAGTGCTTTGACATGCAGTCAAACACATCAGGAGTCTGACCTCCCAGTCCATTTGGTTGGCACATACAACCAGCATAGGTTGCTGGGTATCTATTCTAACTCGGAATCAATACACATCAATAAAGCAGGCAATGCAAAATTCTCAAAATATAAAATGTTCTGAAATATATCTTATAATAAATGTGTTTCATTAATTTTATAAGAAAATATGAATATTTTATAAATGGTGGTAATAAGAATGATCAGTTGATAGGTCACATGTATGTGAAAAGAACTTTTAGTTTAATAATTTAATCATCAAATGAAAGCATCACCAAAGTAAGAAGAGTGTCAACCTCTGGTCTAAAATGTGTCATAAACTTAATGCGAGCAGTCCTGCCTTAGAGCTATAGATAATAAACAGCAAATAACAATATCAAGACTATAGACTTAGAATCCATGATAGATTGTCTTTATTTCCTCCAGTACTGAAGATACATTATATAAGATACATTGTAGATACATGAATTAGATTAAAACTAAACAAAGTAGTTACATGTCATGGGGGTATGAACAAGTGTTGCCACTTGTTAATGTAATGAGAGACTAGTAACATAGTTTCGCCCCATATCTCAAGCTCAAGGTCTTTCATGCAATCAGGCAGTCCGCCTAAGAGGAAAGACATGATAACATCATCATCATTTGACCAAAGGTCAACAAAGGTATTCGCATCTGTGATATCAAAGATATTTTCGAACATTTCATTTCTTTCTTGCATATTAATTAAATGTGTATAAACTTAATGCGAGCAGCCCTGCCTTAGAGCTATAGAAAATAAACAGCAAATAACAATATCAAGACTAGAGACTTAAGCCACCCTGACACTTTCACGATTTTTGTCCCTGCAATGCCGCGCAATGCGTCGTGGCAAGGCGTGCCATTTCGGTGGTACGCAGTGGAGCGTGAAGCCACGTTTGCACCCTGTTCACGCACCATACACGTATAACTTACGCAATGTCTACGCAATGCACGGCCAAAAATGGGCCGCAATGGCACGAATTGTTTATGAATAGGTTTAGTATTGTTCGCGCATTGTTCACGTCTACCGTACCGCAGTGTCTCACACGACACGCATAGTTCCCGCTGTTTTCCCGCATTGCCACGCATTGCCCCGACGACTTCGCGCATGCGTGAAGTCGTCGTGGCAATTTTTGGTCCCGCTTTGTCACGCTTGACGGCACGCTTCAAATCCTGCTGTTGGCGTATGTATATAAACTCCAAAGTGAAGAGACGCTTCATTCCTCGACTCGCTGTGGACGATACAACATGCTGAATACCAGAAACACTGTTATTGCAGAATAGAGAAGGTGTCTCTATCTGGCAGCTGCAGGACTATTACTTCTTGAAGAGCAGGAGAAAAGGCAGCAAGAGCAAGAGCAAGAGGAAGAGCATGAGAAAGAAGAAGAGACAACCCTAACTAGAACTAGGAAAGCAAGGACAGTGTGAGATAGGCAATGGTTGGCTAGAAGACATGAGTTCGGACATTATGATCAACTATTGATAGAACTCCACAACGAAGATCCCAGAGTCTACAGGAATTACCTGAGAATGACACTCGACCTGTTCCAAGAGATGGTGGAGAAGTTAACCCCTCACCTTATGAAACAGACCACATTCATGAGAGAACCGCTTGAAGTTGGACTCAAGCTGGCTGCCACCCTCCGCTTCCTAGCCACTGGAAATTCCTATCCAAGGCTACAGTACAGCTTCAGAGTTGAAGCAAGTACAATCTGCAAGTTCTTACCAGAGGTGTGCAAAGCCATCATTGAGGTCTTCAGGGACGAAGTGCTCAGCTGCCCCAAAACTGAAGAAGAGTGGAAGGAGGTTGCTGAGCTGTTCAGCTCCAGATGGAGCTACCACAACTGTCTGGGGGCCCTGGACGGCAAGCACATTGCTATGAAGAAGCCACCCAAAGCAGGCTCCCTCTGTTATAATTACAAGGGCTTCCACAGCATTGTACTCATGGCAGTTGCAGATGCTGGGTATAAGTTCTTGTATGTTGATGTTGGGACAGAGGGTGGTGCCCCATTGAGCCAGTCCTTCTGTCTCTTGTCATGCAGCTGTGGGTAGTCTTTTACATATTCTGCTAATTTCATTGTACCCTCATCTGTCCACTTATACTCAGGAAGTTCTCTCTTAGACACTTCGATTCTCTTCTTCTGTTTTACTGTGGGCTCTTCTTCACTTGGCGGTTCTATTTGAGTCTCTGTAATAACTTCAAAATGTGTCTGTGGAACAACATCCACACTTGAGCAGGAGGAAGGAGGAGAAAGATCCCTCTCCCTGACTGCAATCTCTGTCTCTGGTCTGTCCTCTTCCTGTCTTTTCTGCACTGGTCTTACCCTTCTTCTATGGACTTTCTCCTTGTAAGGCATGTTGTCTGTTTGCTAGCAAGTTGCAGAATGGCCAGGACCTGCTTACATACGCATTGACGCGAGCGCCGTCGTCGCTCATTGGTCAGGAACTACGAGCGAACAATGCGTAAACACTTTCTGAGCAGTTCGTGCATTGAGCGAATGGTTCGTGACGTGCGCGACCTATGCGTGAGCTGGTCGATCCATGATCATGTGAACAACTTGTGACAACACCCTAACGACCGCACGATCCCTCCGCGACACGCTCGAATGCGTGAACGCGGCGCGAACAGGCACGCCCACAACGTGGACAGTTCGTGACCAATGCATGGCATGGCGTGTCAGAGCGTGTAGTGGATTCCCATGGCATGCATTGACACGCACCGTCGGCAGTGCTGCGCCGAGTTCGTGCAGTGTTCACGCATGGTTCACGCAAGTGGCACGCACATGGCATGACAATTTATGCGTGCCGAATTTTTGAACATTTCAAAATTCTCTCTACGACATGGCACGCACCCCGCACCCTTCACACACTCCTCACGCTCGTTCCCGAAGACTTTAATCATTGGCACGCCGAAGTGCGAGTCATTGCGGGAACGAAAATCGTGCAAGTGTCAGGGTGGCTTAAGAATCCATGATATAGTACTGAGTGATAGCAATTGGAGTGAATTATAGCTTCACAAATTTAACAACGTAGGTGTGCAGTGTTTTTCTTGTACATGTAATTATAAGAATATTTGACAAGTTTACCATAGACAAGAAGCCGTCATACACAGCTGGCAACTGTCAAATCTAGCACCCAATTACACTGTTTATTGTGCGCTTTGTTGTATACGTGTCTGTCATTGTTTCCGTCCGTGACAATATACTCCAAAATGTCTGGATAAAATGATATTAATGACAGCAAGGGATACGTTCCTATTTGACCTTCGTGATTATAGTATAAATTGCTCTGATGTTGCCAGGCAATTTGATGTTGTTATAAGGGATAAGGGATAATCATTTTTTACACTGGGCAAGTAGAAGGTGCAACTGTGTTCAGAAAAAATGATTCAAATAACTTGAGCTTGAGCTTACTCACAACCAATCAGTGAGTTCAACTATATTGTATGAGTTCACTCACATAGTCACTTAAATAAACATTACTAATATGATGACCACAGCTAATGTAAATTCACTTACTTTGGTTAATAGGGTATAAATGCCTAAATAATTTTGAGATGCTATTACTTTCAACTGTGGCAAATCAACAGATACATCATATGTTTGTTCCAATGTCGTGTGGAGGTCAGTATCACTGAGGTTGTTATTGCTAAGAAGTGTTTTGCTAGGTTGTTTACTTTTTGTTTGGGGTTTGTTGAGTTATTAATATTTGGTGCTTTCTCGGATTGCGTGTATTTTGCGCCAGTTCTGGCGTCTGTGTGATGCTTTATTTTGTGTTACCAATTTTTAGATTTTTCTGTTTTAACAAGGTTTGGCAATTTGTAATTTAATTGGTGAGCTACCTGTATATGTGAGTTGTCTCACTACAAGCCCTAACAGGCGAAATCCTCCTGGATTTACATCGAGGACAGTTAACCATAAATTTCTGGGCTGCAACCCAATCAAACACCCTCATCAAAAACAACCTTAGCCCAATAACATCTTCACACCCAAATTACAAACCCCCCAAATCGATACATCACTCTCCATTAAAATAAACAAAACAACAGAACCAAACACTGCAAAGACTACCACACGCGCATACATACATGAAAAATGGCCAAACTGGTGTCACATCTACACAGACAGGTCCTCTAACCCAGTCTCAAAACACACAGTATTCGGCATCCATATAACCCAAACAAATAAACCAATCAAAATCCTATAGGCTCCCGGATAAACAGTCAATCTTCACAGCCGAGCTTATGGGAATGGCTACGGCCTTACACAACCCCAAAATCAAAAAACACCTAATTCTAACAGACTCGATAAAAGAGCTACAAGCAAAAACAAAAACATCAAAAAACGACCTAAACTAATAAACCACTCAAATACTTAAAAGCACTCAACTAAACAAACTAGGCAAACAAATAAAATTCCTTTGTATCCTTGCCCTCGTTGGAGTGTTTTGAAATGAATACGCACCTTTCTAATTAACTAGCCTTCTAGGCCATTTATAATTACCCCCAAAATTAAATTACCACTAATCGAAAAACCTAATAACAAACAAAACCAAAACCAGTTTGTCGTAAATCTAAGATAGCCCCATACCTGTCGTAAGTTTATTTTATCTTCATCCAAGATGGCGGCATACTTTGCCATAGATATTTTGCCAAACAATTAGTCTGCTTTACATTCAAACATTGACATTGCATTTTGTTAAACTGAGTGATTCAAATTGACACTTCGAAAACACGAAAAACACATCAATGATTCTACATCGGAAATGTTCTTAATCGCGACATCGATCCACAAAACTATGGAGTCAATAGCTTAAAATATATTTCTACCCAAGTCCATGTTGAAGGAAGTATGAAACAGCGTACCTTTTCGATAATTTGTGAAGGATAAAAATGGAAGGTGTCGGCAGGCTATAGTAATGACCATGACTTTATTGATAACTCAGGGGGAGCTAATCTTAGTTCATGCTCTAGTTGAGAGTGGTTTCCCTTTGTATTCGCCCGGGATACCTTGCTCAATGTTACAGTTTTCATAAAGCGCAGAGTTATGCTGTTATATTTTATGGATCGCATTTGTGTCGATGCTTTAGTCTTTAATTTGCATTTATAAAATTATATCAATCTACATAATTAAAAAAAAACATGAATAGATTTGACACATTACAAAGTATTTCACTCCTTAGCCAGATTTAAATGAAATCAGACAAATCAATTATTAGCTCTACTTAATTTAAAAGGATAGAAAATGACTACATGATATGTATGTTCACATTAAAACATGTCGTGTTCCATTAGACAACATAACTTGACAATTCCTAAATTATCTCTCTTTGCGAACCAAAATTAGTGTCACTTTTAAATTTTGAAAAGAATTATGGATCTAGATAGATAAAAATAATTTCATCATCTAAATACTAATAGCTTGATATTGTTTTAAGTCCTTGGTTAATTTGTGAAATATATTGGATACATAAACAACAAAACAAACTTAACAAGCTTAGATTGTCATAGAAACCTGCTTGTGGGTGCGCTGCTTCCAGAACAATTTTTGTTTTGAGTGTTTCCACGTATAATGTTGGTGTTTACACTAATATAAACTTGATTTTTGACATAAACACAAACATATACAGTATACTTCACTTAACATCAGACTTGAACACGCATGTTAAATGCTGAACGCATATGCTTTTTGACCAAAGGTCTCATCATTGTCATTTAGAATAACGTCCCTTACTTTCGTCCTTGACTTTGTACGCGATGTGTTTATATCATAAAGTTCTGCTCGCTCACGAGAGGACCATTTGAAGGGAAAATAGTGAAGTATCTATTGGCACATTATTTCAATTCTAATAGCTAAAGTGTGGTAACACTACACTTATTGATTATGACATTTATTGGTTTTGAAAAATGCTATTGCATGGCACACGAATGCTATTTGTGTTCGGATAGTCATGGCATTATTTATCATAAGAACAACACGTCTACATGTATGACATATGTAGGATTGTACAGACTTTCACACAAATATGTGCGTGTTAAACAATGTGACCTGACAATGTGATCATGAATTCCGTGCCACTTATCTATGTTGTTGTTATTGTCAGCAGCTAGGAAATCCCCGTGACGTCATTGGGAAACCAGGGCTCCAGATAAGCTTTTGGTGTTGTGGGTATTTTACCCATGCATTTTAAAATCATTGGGTATCAGTAATTCTACCTGCGTATTCAAATTTCTGTTACCCACTAGTTTTTACACATGTGGGTATTTAAGTTAAATATTTAAAAACACTATTCATCTAGTCCCTGCAAACTGGTGTCGCGTGGGTTCGAGAGCTTTATAGGACTCAAAAATACCTAGATACTTCCACAAGAAAGTGTGATGGCAAATGATCATGATGTAACTGTCATCGTGGAGTTTGGCAAGGTTGACGGAATGCCCCTTTATAATTTCAAAATAAGTTGCTGATTTGCTAATCGAATACGCAGGGTTACTTCACAATATTTTGATGATACGCACAAGTTTTATTTTTGTAGCGTATCTGTAATGTTCGTTGCGTATTTGATACGCTTGGATTATATTTTACTGTGTATTTCTGCATTTCTGATGCGTATTTCACGCAGATACGCAGCTTATCTGGAGCTCTGGAAACACCCCGCTTTTTCAATCTCTAACACAAATGAGTCTCTGTCAGAGTTATGATAGGTATAGTAACTCTGAACGATCTGCGACAGGTTTATGATAGTTTCGAAAATATATCTTATCTTAACCTTAAGATATCTTATATTTGAACGTAAGTTGTTAAGATATATCTTAGCTATGATCGTTTCGAAAATCTTGGCCCTGGTGGTCCCGTACATGAAATATGCATAATGTCAGAAAGTGCACGTAAAATCTCCAAATAGTTAGTAACACTGACTTCAATCAAGTTTCCCTGTTGTGTTCACCATGTTGACATGTCATTGGCATTCTTGATTTTTGTTTTAAATTACAATGAGAAATATATAGATAAACTTTCACTAAACTTGAAATTATAAATTGTCTGTCCCCAGGGACTGAACACTGTAACAGATTAATCTTTCACCCAAAGGCTCCCATGCATCCATGTTCATCATGCCCAAATCTGCTCTATCACCAAAATGGTAAACGTTTATGTGACAAATGGTAAACATTTATGAGCCATTCATCTCTATAATTGGTGTTTAATTATGTTACCATACCTCATGTGGTATGGAATATTATACCATTACAGGTGGAGCATACATCAATCTCATACAATATCTATAAGTAAAAGCTCTTACTTTAATGCAACTAATGTACATCCATGTCACATTGCTCACTCAGAGTAGCTGCTTTCCCCTGAGTCTTTTAGCTTCTAAACATGCGCAATGAATGAAGTTGACTGACCAGCAATTACCCTTGTTTGTAGAAACATACAGTTCATACTGTTGTAATGCCATTGACAGATTTCAGTGTTGAAGTAAATCAAATAACACAGATTAATAACTATAGTATCTGTACACTGTGAAACATATCTTTAGAATACTTTTGAAGTTTATCCAATACAGACCAAATTGTTTGTTTGTTGTTTAACGCAGCACTCAGCAATATTGCAGCTATATGGCAGCGGTCTGAACATTAATTGAGTCTGGACCAGACAGACCAGACAATCCAGTGATTGATGTCACGAGCATCGATCCACGCAATTGGGATATTTGATGACATGCATCAACCAAGTCAACACTTGATGCTAGTTGTTACTTTTGCATTTGATTGTGAGAATTATTACATTTATGATTAATTAGGCCTACTGCAAACCAAATATCATTGACTTCCTTTGCCAGCCATTATTTGATTTCGAACACATAGTTAAAAAAAAGTCCAATCTCATTAAAATCAGATCTTAGTTCCTGCTATCGCTAAACAAAGCGGCAGCGAGAACCTAGATCTGATTTTAATGAGATTAAAAGTCACGCATTCTACAAATTTATCTTCAAAAGACTATATTCACACCTGTAACATTTTGACAGCTTCAGGTTTTGTCCACTCGATCTGTATTTTGATAACCGTATTTGACTGGGCTTCTGTCTACCAAGACTAAAAATGCCAAGCTCCCTTCCCAGCGCGTGACACCTTCGTTACACTCCCGTTAACATCGACCGCGAACGGGACGTCGCTGTGTGAGAAGCTTGTGAGAGTGCTGAGCTTGCGGCGTGTACCAACAGTGGAGCCAGTTTATGACGTGGCACACATGTGATACCAAGAGACGAGACCCAGCTTATGGTATCATTTGTATTCAATTCTTAAAATATACTTGAAACTGAATTGGAAAACAATCTCCAGAAAACATAATTCAGTGATCAATAATGACATGGTGATTTGAGTATGGAGTACAAAATATATTGTTTTTTATCAACATTTAGGCGTTCTCGTGCTTTACTATAATAGCTCAGGGCAAAACTATAATTTATTACACAACATTATTTCTTAATTATGACGTCACAATGCAACTTCACATAAATACTATAAAGTCTTTATTCATTATGTATTGTAGGCCACAGGCCCATTATACATTACAGAGTATACAGTGAGAGAGAAACATTAGAATACAAAATTTTAGGTAATTTACACAAGACGTAGTTTCATTGCTTTATAAATGAATACTGACAGATTATGAATGATTATTACATTATTTGATGCCATTAAAATATTAAACGTATGTATTGAGGGGTACAGGTATATATTTTCGCCTTAAATGCACATATCGATCAAAAATTATTATAAAATGAAATTCATCTTCAATTTGATTTAGATTGCAAGCCAGACACAACCTTTCAGATTTTAACTCTTTTTTTATACCTCCCAGTCTCAATTCGGAGCTGGTGGGAACATCATCTAAATTGCGCAAGGGCACGCCTATATTCAAATATTGATAATTCTTTTAAATATGTTTCTAAGCCGAATTTCTTTTGGAATAAACTGTAAAGAGTTGATTTTGAGCTTGATGAAAGAGCTGCGTGCCAATTTTGTTCATAAGATAATTTTAGACGGAGTATAAATTCCGACAGAAAGCTGGAGATATTACTTATAAATTGTTGATCCCATATGTAACCAAAACCAGTAGAGAATAGCATGTGTTTTACTCTTGATGCCCAGTTAGTTTTACCATTACTACAGTCTAACAATAATAAGTTATAACATTTCTTTACCAAACGTGATTCAGGCATATTAATTATTTTCCACCAATACTTAACAACACGTTTAAATGCAAATATGTACATTGGGTATCTTCCGCATTCTCCTCTAACAACGTGATTTGCGGATGACTGCTTAACACATAAAAATCTCTTACAGGCAAACATTTGTACAACTTCTATTTCTTCGTAATTATGAACACCCCAAACTTCAGAGCCATAAAAAAGAAATTGGGCTGATTTTGGAATCAAAGATTTAAAAAAAATAGACCATGAGGTAATGGATTTAACATATATATATAATGATTTAATAATTCCACACATAACCTTTTTTGCCTGAGTTGATGCACTATTAACATGAGCAGACCACAGTTGTGATCTAGAGAATAAAAATCCCAAGTATTTGTAGCATGAAATACATTCAAGCTGGTGCTCGTTAAAATACCACTTTTCGACTCTTGATAAAATTCCACCATTTTTAAAAACAACGATTTTAGTTTTTGCTAAGTTAACAGACAGATGGTATTTATCACAAAAAGAACTTAAAGCATTAATTCGTTTTTGTAGCCCATAGACAGTATCTGCAAAAAGGACGATATCATCAAGGAACAGCAAAAATACCTGTTTGATATCAGGATGCAGTTGCACCCCTGGCGCACATGAAGATTCTATTTGTTCAGCAAGCTCATTTACAAAAATAGAAAATAAGAAGGGGCTTAACACGCAGCCTTGCCTGAGGCCCGAAGGGCAATCAAAACTTTCAGATAATATGTTATTTGATTTAACACATCCCTTCACACAACTATAGATAGATTCAAGTGCATTTAACATCTTGGGTGAAACTCCCCTGTATTTTAATATAAACCATAATTTAGATCTGTTAACAAAGTCGAAAGCTTTTCACAAAAAAACGCATACAACTTACCAGGCCTTTTTGAAAGGTAGTGTTGAATAATAGTTTGTAAAATGAAAATAGTATCTATTGTGCTATATCCTTTTCGAAATCCCGCTTGCGACTCGCTAATTTTGTCGTACGAATTTGCCCAAAATACTAATTAATCTTGCATTAAGAACTGATGTATAAAGTTTACTTAAAGTGCTTAAAAGGGAAATACCTCTATAATTATTAGGATCAAATTTATCCCCTGACGTAAACAAAGGGACTATGATACCTGTACTCCATGATTCAGGGAAATAAGATGATTCAAAAATGTCATTAAACAACAATTCCATGTATGACAACAATATATCGGAGAAGGATTTTCAAAATTCTGAAATAAGGTTATCTTCCCCTGGAGATTTAGAGTTTTTTAGTTCATAGATTGCTTCTTGTATCTCTTCCTGAGTGGTCGGCGAGTCCAGTATACAGGCGGCCGTATCATCAGCATTACAGTCAGTATCAGAGTTTTCAGTCTGTTCTGGCAAATTACCGTCACATTCTTCAAATAAGTTCTTGAAATACGAAAACCATTCTGATATATTTACATTGTCCTTTTTTGACGACTTGCTTGTATATTTCTTTAGCACAGTCCAAAACTCTTTTGAGTTATTTATATTAAGATGTCTACATACAGAGACGAATTGTAGTGTTTACGTATAAGGACAGCAAGTCGCAACAGCAGCGGAACTACGGGCGCGTTGCAAGCCACCAATCGCTTAGAGAAAGCAACTTACTCGCTCACCCCGGGGTCTGCAACAGTTCGAAGCGCTTGCGCACTCTTCCAAAATGGCGGCGCAACCACCACGTGGTTGCCTTGACGTAATGAAGAACGTAATAGAAGAGGCTCGATGACGAGCTGATCAAGTTTATGACTACTTTGAAGATGTGGATCCGACCGATGTGGATCAGCTGCCTCTGCTCATTTCATCGCTGATCCAATCAAGAATTTCTTCTTCCGCTGTCAAAGTCAGCCGCCATTTTGGTTTGACAACGAAGCGACCTCAGCCAGCGATTGTTTCGCTTGCAAGCGGCGTAAAGTTAGGGCACTGTTGTTAGGCGAATCGCTGTACATCGCTTGCAAGCGATTGGCGCTTTGCAACGCACCCTAAGATTTGTTGAATGACGTCTACAATCATCAGCTATGACGTCGTTTCTAGTGTGACGTCATTCCGACCTTACGTCACAATAAGTTTCGAATGACGTCAACAATGCCGTCCGGATGACGGAAACAATACACTGTTGTTTCGTGACGTGATATGACCCTAGTGCACATATGCTTTTTATGAACCCCGATATGTTTGCCCTCGTAGGTAATAAACATTGCGTAACCTATTTTATGGTGGACACAATTTTACGGTGCATTGCATCAACAGTTATCCATTTAAAGACAGGGATTATCTTAAATTATAGCTAAAATGGTTAGAATTATCATTAAACCGCCCGCATGTTATCAGAAATGAGCGAGCCACTGTAACTTCATATTGATGTTCAATAGTGACGTCATTTTGTAATTTTGTTTGTTCTATGACGTTTCCATATTTGTAAAAGTGGGCCAGTGACATTCGTTGTGTGTTGAAAATGTTTCAAAACCGATGTTTTTATTTGATAACAAATCCTGTCCATGACAGGAATAATAACGGTAACGCTATTTTTCTGGGCATTATCATAATGTTCTCATATTTCTTGACGACGGGCCATTATCACGCCCGTTGTTAGGTGACGTCATAGGATAGGGATAGGTGACGTCACGTTCATTAGTGACGTCATCTGGTTTGTTCTATGACGTTTCCATATTTGTTAAGTGGGTCAGTGACATTCGTGTTGATTGTAGTAAATGTTTGAAAACCGATATTGTTGTTTCTTTTTATTTCATAAAAGATTCCATCTATTTGAGCTATAATAACGGTAACGCTATTTTTCAGGGCATTGCCCTCATATTATAGCTAAAATGGATAGACTTATCCTTTAACCCGCCCGCATGTTATCAGAAAAGAGCGGGCCACTGTTACTTGATAATGCCCTCATATTACTTGTCGACTAGACCCGTGAAGATCCGGGGTAGAATAGGTCTTCAGCAACCCATGTTTGCCGTAAAAGGTGACTATGCTTGTCGTAAAAGGCGACTAACGGGATCGGGTGGTCAGGCTCGCTGACTTGGTTGATGCACGTCATCAATCCCAATTGCGTGGATCGATGCTCATGATATCACTGGATTGTCTTGTCCAGACTCGATTATTTACAGACCGCCGTCATACAGCTGGAATAATGCTGAGTGCGGCGTTAAACAACCAACTTGACGACGAGCCATTATCACGCCCGTTTTTAGGTGACGTCATAAAATAGGAATAGGTGACGTCACGTTCAATAGTTATGTCATTTGGTTTGTTCTATGACGTTTCCATATTTGTAAAAGTGGGTCAGTGACATTCGTGTTGATTGTTTCAAAACCGATATTGTTGTTTCTTTTTATTTGATAACAAATTCCATCCTTTTTAGCTATAATAACGGTAACGGTAGTCCTCGGTCTTTTCAACTGCCCTCCTTCGTCGGACAGTTTATGGAAGACCTCGGGCTTCTGCAAATGATAATGCCCTGAAAAAAATAGCGTTACCCTTATAACATAATTCAGGTTAAAGTTTACATGAAAATTAGTTGCTTCCTGTTTTTTAAGGTAAGTATATGAATTTTTAACTATATATTCACAAGTTCAGCAGTTTTCCCGTTTACAGTCTGAGGCACTGAATTCTTTAGACTTCATACATGTGTCGAATTTGGCGCTTGTTAATAACATAAGTATGGCGTCTACGTTTATATCATTGTCACATAAACCATACTTCTTTCCTTATCCCATCTTAAACAATTTGAATCGGGTATCAACGGGATTGTTGATAGGATTTCATAATACCTGAATCCCCCCATCCCCCCCCCCCCCAAAAAAAAAGAAGAAAAACCAACCACACACCAAAAAACAACCAACAAACCAAACAATCAAAAAACAAAACAGAACAAAACAAAACAAAACAAAACTCAAAACAAAACACACAAAAACAACAACAAACAAAAA